TGGATCATAGGTACTGATCACATTCTGGGGCCTCGTGGACAGAAAAAACGGTGCAAGAAATTCACTTAATCTTTCTTTTTCCTTTTCTCTTCTAATATCATAGGCATGCTTCTAGGGTTTCATTTAAAGTACAGCATCATAGAAATATCTCATAATTTAATTGGCAATGGATGAGTTATAAGACTGTGTTAATTACTTAATAGATGAGAGTATTTTAAAAGAGATTTCACATGAAGTCAAAAATACCCACTACATACCCATAAAAATGTAAAAAACCAGACCTTCTATTCCCTGTAACATTTAGTTATCATTTAGGTTTCAGTGTTCAAAGATATGCATATCGTTCAAGGATCCTTTTTTGGTAAAGGAACATATAAAATCTCAAGCAGATAAATTTGCATAGGGATGGTCATGACATTTTGACAAGTTTAGGGATGACACAGAAACTGTGATGCCTGACAGACGTTAGTGTCTGGTTCATTATTGTCATAGAAATTTTGTTTAAAAATATATTTGACAAGCTTTGTTATGTTTGATGCAATTGAAAAATATTGTTTGTGCAATTCCTTTGATGATTAACTGACTAGAGTTTTGATAATGCCATTGAAGAGAAAAACAAGGAAGCATCATTCCTAGAAACAGGTACCCAGCAGCACAGAAAATGATCCACATTTTTCAAATTTACCTTGAATATAGCTGTTGGATGAACATAAAATTTGAATAGTTGGAAGAAAAATGAGATATGGAGCCTAGCATTTATAATGAATTATCAAATGTGAGTAATTGCACTCAGTTGAACCAAAACACTTAGATTTTTGAAACTGACTCATCATTGTAATAACTTCCTTTTAAAAGCTGTTTTGTGCCTAATAATTTCATATATCATCAAAGTGCTTTGAAACATAATCTCTGCTATTCGTTTCATTAGATAAGGAAGAAGTGAACTTTAAAGTAAAATTTTCCCTGAAAAAAAATCTATTTTTACATGATATAATGATTACCACACTATTTATTCTGACTGTCTGGATTCATGATCTGGCTCTACCTGGTAGCAGCTGTGTAATCACAAAGCAGTTTTTGGAGAAAAATTTGGTTCGCAGAAGGAAAATTTACCAAAGAGAAAGAGCATGAGATTATATGCAGGATGGAGGTTAGACAGAAAAGGAAAAATCTTGATTTCACGCTTGCTGATATGTTAGTTGTTCAGGGCTATGACCCAGAACCCAGGACCTGTGAACTTAAACTCAATTGGCATAATTCTTCCTATTTGGGATAACCATGGTATCTGATTTTATCATATCTGCAGGGGAACAATATTACCAGTACATACTATTGCCTCTCTCAAAGAATAAATGGCATTCATAAAACTATTGCCTTTTCCTAGAGTTATAATAAGAAAGGGGAGTACAAGAAGGCACTTGTTTGATGTGACTCTGTCTTTCGTTTTACGTCTTCTAAACTTCTTAATTTTGATTGATTTCCCCTCTATACCTAGTGTTTATTGGAACAACTACTTTCCATTAAGTAGGAAGAAAGACTTTTATATACTGGGATTTACAAACCCTTATTTTTTTTATTTTTTATTTTTTACCAGAAACACTAAGAGACAGGTAACAGCTGGCGATTAAAGAATAAAGTAATACATAAAAATTTCACCTGCATTGGTTGAATTTAAGACTTGGGCAATAGTAAACCAAGCTGTGAGGCATTTTGAATTTTCAGGGTCACATTATGCAGTTGTGTCAGGAGACTATTTACTGGTGAGCAGAGACCCCAAAAATGCAGGCCTTTTGAGCCTTCTATAATGTGTGTTTATCATTCCATAGAATGTCAAAAGTTTTACTGCATGTGTTTCTATTTTGTTCAGTTTTGCATGTTTTTGAATGCATATAAATGAAATCATACCATAAATATTCTTTAAATATAGGCTCTTTAATTAATTATCTCTAAGATTTGACCATATTGTTCCATTTAGCCATTATTCACTGGTTCTCCTTCGACCTACTATTCAATTTTCTGGATATAATACAATTTATTTATCATTCTCCTGTTTATAGATATTTAAATGTGTCCATTTTTTCTTAATGCAAACAGCGCTACTTAAACACTGTCATAGTTTTCTCCTGGTTACATACAGGTGGCTGTTTCTAGTTATATACAGGTGTTGTGGTCTGATATATGACCCCAACACAAAACAAGAAATTTGTTTTACTTGGCAATCAAGTAAACCAAAAGTTTCACAAACGTCAGAAGTAATCCTTATTCAATGCAGTCTCATATTTTTATTCTATTGTATTGTATTTATACTCTATACCATGTTATTTTAGGTTGTTAACCTTCTGGTTACCCTCCAGGGTCACAACCATAACGCTAAGAACATAAAACTTGAAGTTTATTTAACTTGACGAATGAATTCAATTGAAGGCTGGTTCACTTTTACACCCATTTATTTGAGATTCCTCTTTTACTGAATGTTGGGCATTAGAAGATTTCCTGCCAGATGGGCATCTTATAAGTATGCTGTATATATACAAATGTATATATACATATATACATTTTTGCACATACACACACACAGGATTATTTGTCAATTTCAGCAGGAGTTTAGTATCTAATCTGCAGTGTGGCTAGAAATGGAAGTCCTCGCTTTTTGGAATCTTAGGAAGTGAGACACATATTAGAATTTGTATTTCCAGAAGTACTAGATGACCTTGTTATGGAAAAATTTCCCATTAAAAACAAACAGATACTAGACAAAATATAAAAACACATAAAATTATAGCTACTGGTAGAGATTACAGATCTACCAAGGTGGCAAGAAATTAGAACACAATCCCACAGAGTAGCAAAGCCCAGGTTCTCAAGGAGAAGCTATCTGTGGACATTTGCTACTACTTCATCTGCCGTCAGTCATTTGCTCACTTAAAAGCAGCTGCTGAAAGGCTGAGAGCAATTCAAATGTAAACATATGGGTAAACAGAAATGGATATTGGCTATATAAGGCAATGATAAAGAAGCATTTTGGCAATATATACATCACATGGCAATAATAGCACAAAAGGTGGGAGAAAAAATGAAATTAAAGTAATACAGTCCTTATGTTTTCTCAAAAGTGGTAATAGTATTAACATATATTAGATTTTAACAAGTCAGAAAACACATTGAAATCACGAGGACAACCCCAAACGGAGATTTAAAGAACGTAGAGCTTACATGCTAAGTAGGGAAATGGAATTAAGCAATAAAGGGTAGCTACCAAAAACTACATCAATTGTTACAGTTATTGGGAAAATAATATTTTTTTCCCTGAGAGCTTGGAAATGAATGAGAATACCTTCTATTACCATTTCTTTTCAACATTGTATTCAACATCATATTGCAGGTTCTAGCCAGTGCAATAAGGAAACAAAAGCTATAAAAATGAGAAGGAAGTAGAAACTCATTATTTGTAAGTGACACAACTGTGTAGGTAAAATATGTAAATGAATCCACATATGAAATTAAAATTAATAAGTACATTTAGCAAGGTCAGGGATCAATATTATACTTCTATATATGAGCAATAAAGAAGTAAAATTATATTTAAAATTCATACCACTTACAAAAGCATAAAAATTGTACATAATATAAACCACTTAATGAATATCTACCAAAATGACTAAAATTTAAAATACTGGCTAGGCATGGTGGCACACACCTGTAGTCCAAGCTACTTGGAAGCCTGAGGCAGGAATATCACTTCAGCCTGGGAGGTCGAGGCTGCCAGGAACCATGATCTCACCATTGTATTCCAGCCTGGGTGACAGAGCAAGACATTGTCTCTAAAAAAAAATAAACTAAAATAAAATAGGCTGGAAGGAGTGACTCATGCTTGTAATCCTAGCCCTTTGGGAGGCCAAGGCAGGCGGATCACCTGAGGTCAGGAGTTCGAGACCAGCCTGGCCAACCCATCTCTACTAAAAATACAAAAATTAGCTGGGCATGGTGGTGCATGCCTGTAATCCGAGCTACTCGGGAGGCTGAGGCAGGAGAATCGCTTGAACCTGGGAGGTGGAGATTGCAGTGAGCCAAGATCGCACCACTGCACTCCAGCCTGGGTGACAGAGTGAGACTCCGTCTAAAAGAAAAAAGAGTAATAAAAATAGAATGAAATAAACACTAACAATTGTAAGTGTTAAAGAGGATGTGGAGCAGTCAGAAGTCTTCTAGCCTGTGCAAACCCATTGTTAGTATGCAGGCAAAAGAGAAGCTTATAGGTGTTTGCCAAGTGTTTGCAGCAGCATTATTTATAATATCCCCAAACTGAAAATAGCCTAAATATTCATCAATAGTAGATGACTGACAATAAACAAATTGTGGCATATTCCTAAAATGTAACACTAAATCACAATGAAAATGAACTCACTATGGCTACCTATAACAATGGTCATGAATCTCACTAAATTTTATTAAAATGAAGAATCCCAACACAGATAAATACAGATTTTATGATTTCATTTTATAAAAGTTAGCAAAACTGATCTATGTAGCTAGGAGTCAAGATAATTGTTAATATGGAGGAGGAAGGTCAGAGATAATAACTGAGTAAGGACATCAGAGCGACTTCTAAGGTCCTAGTAATACTTTATTTCTTAATCTAGGTGGATATGGGAAAAGCTAGAAATGAATTTTTATTAATAATCCTTATTTTTCACTCCTCTCTCTGAGCTCTTTGTCATATGACTTTAGAGTTTCTCTGATAAAGGCAGAATATATCTCCCTATATGACTTGCTTTAATTAATAGAATGAGGCAGAAATGAAGGTATGTCTGTTCAAAGCCTAGGCTTCAAAGGCCTTCATACATTTTTAAATATTTCATTTTAAATGTCTGTGGGTACATAACAGATGTTTAAATATCTCATGAGGTACATGATATATGTTGATAGAGGCAGGCAATGTATAATAATCACATCATGGGAAATGGGTGTCCATCTCCTTAAGCATTTATCCTTTGTGTTACAAAAATCTGCAATGCTTCATGCATCTGTGTGTCATCCTTGCGCAGAGGCTATGCTAATCTCTGTAACATTTCAATTTTAGTGTATGTGCTGCTGAGGTAAGCACCTGCATGCATTTCTATTTGCTTTTTAGCATTTCTGCAATACTATGAGTAGAACATGTCTGTGTTAAAATACAACAAAAGCAGGGTGGGTGGGCTGTAGAGCAGAATATACCAGATGTCTTACTCTGGTTGTGTTGTTGTAACAAAATACTTTAGACTAGGTAATTTATAGAGCACAGAAATGTATTTTTCATGGAGGCTGGAACCCAAGATCAACGCACCAGCAGGTTCAGATCTAGTAAGGGCCTCATCTCTCTTTCCAAGTTGGTGCCTTGTTGCTGCATCCTCTGAAGAAGAGGAATGCTGTGTCCTCACCAAGTAGAAAAGGTGGAAGGGTTGGAAGGACAAAAGAGAGAGAGGCAAACTCCCTCCATTGTGTCCTTTCATACTGATATTAATCCACCCATGAGGGCAGAACCCTCATGACCTGAATACCTCCCCAAAACCCATCCTCCCAACACTTGCATTGGGGATTATGTTTCTACCAGATGAAGTGTGGGGATACATTCAGACCATAACATCAAGTAAGCTGCCCCCATCAAATGCAGCCTATAGCAAGCCCCGTTGGTATTCGCAAATGCACAAGTAAGCAGCTAAACTGCAAACATAGGAGTAATGCCTGACATGTGGGTTCTGCTCTTGGTTGGATTGGTAGGTTTTGTTTCGATGGGAAAGTTCTGTTTCATATGTTTTTCATTCTCTTCCACAGGCTAATAGGCTAGACCAGGTGTGTATTTCTCATGATGACGGCATCAGCTCATGTAGAACAGCATTTTACACAAGGTCTCTTGGATTCTTGCCGTGGAACTAGCTCTCCATAAGATCTGCTTTATTCCATTGGTCAAAACAAGTTAGTTAGATGCCCAAACCCCAAATCCAGGGGCAGAGAAATGTCCTCTTTTGTGGAAGAAAATGCAAAATCTCAAGGCAATAGCTTTAATCAGAGGGATTGTGAAATATTTGAGCCATTAACACAATGTATGACGCCTAGAAGGATGTCACACAGTGAATAAATAATTACAGCATAATTCATTATTTATAATTGTATTAAGTATTATGAAGAAAAAATACTGCATGGTAAGCTCTACATGGAAAACTATATAGGAAACAAATATATGATTAAGCATTTCTATTTCAAGATTACAATCCTGGATAATTATAATATTGATGAAGGGGTGGCCTGCCCCTCCACACCTGTGGGTGTTTCTCGTTAGGTGGAACGAGAGACTTGAGAAAAGAAATAAGACACAGAGACAAAGTATAGAGAAAGAAAAGCGGGGCCCAGGGGACCGGCGCTCAGCTTACAGAGGACCCACGCCGGCACCGGCCTCTGAGTTCCCTTAGTATTTATTGATAATTATCTTTACCATCTTAAAGATAAGGGAGTGGCAGGACAATAGGATCATTTTTAGGGAGGAAATTAGCAGTAAGACATAAGAACAAGGATCTGTGACATGAATAAGTTTAAAGGAAAATCCTGTGCCTTGAGATAAACCTTTTAGCAACATTGTTTCATCCTATCACATGGGGATAAACCTTGGACAATACCTAGCTTTTCTAGGAACAAAGTCACACCCTGCACGCCCAAAATCCATTAAACCTTGAGTTACCACAGCACATGTCTCTGGCAAGGACAAGGTTGGGGGTAGGGTCACAGATTAACAGCATCTCAAATACAGAACAAAATGGAGTCTCTTATGTCTACTTCTTTCTATATAGACACAGTAACAGGCTGATCTCTCTTTCTTTTCCCCACATTTCCCCCTTTTCTTTTCAACAAAACCACCATTGTCATCATAACACCGAGATTACATACTTCACAAAGTAATAGAATATCACAAAACAAGTGGAGGCAGGATGAGATCACAGGATGGTGTTAAAATTAAAATTTTTGGGCATGCATAGTCATGGATAACATCTTATCAGAAAACAGGGTTTGAGAGCAGACAACCTGTCTGACCAAAATTTATTAGGTGGGAATTTCCTCGTCCTAATAAGCCTGGGAGCGCTACAGGAGGCCGGGGCTTATTTCATCCCTTCGGCTTCAACCGTAAAAGGCGGCACGCCTCCAAGGGGGTCGTTTATAGGCCTACCCTCAGAGCGCATTCTCTTTCTCAGGGGTGTTCCTTGCTGAGAAAAAGAATTCAGCGATATTTCTCCTATTTGCATAATGAAAAGAGAAGAAATATGGCTCTGTTCCGTCCGGCTCACCGGCGGCCAGTTCAAGGTTGCCTCCCTTGTTCCCTGAACATTGCTGTTATCTTATTCTTTTTCCAAGATGCCCAGATTTCATATTGTTCAAACACACATGCTCCACAAACAATTTGTGCAGTTAAGGCAATCATCACAGGGTCCTGAGGTGACATATATCCTCCTCAGTTTACAAAGAAGATGATAGAATTAAAAGATTAAAGACAGACATAAGAAATTACAAAAGTATTAATTTTGGAGAACTAATAAATGTCCATGAAATCTTCACATTTTATGTTTTTCTGCCGTGGCTTCAGCCAGTCCCTGTGTTCAAGGTCCCTGACTTCCCGCAACGTTCTCTCTCCCTTTTCCTCTATATAAATGTGCCATGGTGATGAAGGCTTGTTCGTTAGTCAATGGTGCTCGATTGCGGTGTTTCCGTCTCCGTGGAGGCGCTTTTCTTTGCATCTCCGATGGGTTCATTGTAGAACTTCAAATGTTAGTGGGTATCCAGACAGGAAGCTGATTTTCTCCTGGTGAAACACAAGCAAAACCTCTTCCCCAGGTTATCACCTTCCCTATTTCCCATGTCTTATTTTTGTTGTCTTTCCACCAAATCAGTTTCCTTCATGTGGACTGTTCTTTTTACCAGTAAGATGTTGTTCTGCAGAAGTAGTAGTCTGATTTCTATAAATGTTTAAAAAATTTAAAGTATAAAGTGCTAGATTAAGCTGCATCTGAGGAGTGGTACACTCCTTACTGTCTCCCCTTTTTTTTGTTTAACTAACTGAGTTTTGAGTGTTCTATTAGTTCTTTCAACTATGGCCTGTCCTTGGGAATTATAAGGAATTCCTGTTGTATGTGTAATATTCCACTGATTTAAGAATTTTGGAAAGCTTTACTACAATAACCTGGTCCATTGTCAGTTTTAATTTTTTCTGGAACTCCCATTACAGCAAAACAAGATAATAAATGTTTTTTAACATGGGAAGTACTTTCTTGATTATCTGGTCCTAAACAATGTAAAATCATTGTACTTTCGTACACTTCTGAAGCTGTGCCTGCGCCGACAAGTCTTGTAACAGCCTTTTGTTTAGGCCAATTTTTGGCCACTGATTTAAAGCAATGACAGAGACATCTGCTCCAGTGTCTACCAACCCTTCAAAACTGTTTTCCTTGAATAATGGCCTTACACACAGGTCTGCTCTCAGAGACCAGATTTGCCCAATATGCAGCCTTTCCTGTCGGATCAGTGCTTCCGAACCCTCCTGTTCTTATTATTTCACTGTTTCCAACTTTAATATAAGGTAGGAGTAATAATTGAGCAATCCTGTCTCCTGGACTGGCACTCCAAGGAATTGAGGAACTAATAACCAATTGAATTTCGCCTTTAAAGTCTGAATCAACCACACCAGTATGAATTTGAACTCCTTTTAGATTTAAATTGATCTTCCTAAGATTAGTCCTACAGTCCCCTCAGGCAATGGGCCATATACCCCTGTGGGGATTTTTTGTGGAGGCTCCCTGGAAGCAGTGAGACTGCTTGTATGGTGCATAAATCTACTGCTGCACTGCCGTTTGTGGTGGGGATAATTGCTGTATTGTGATAACTGGCTTATTCCCTGAGACACTTGTGGCAGTGGGGGTTGTTGTTCCTGAAAACCCTGAGGAACAAAGGGCTGAATTTGGAATGCCCCAGTTTGTTGCGGGGCCTGAGGCTGGCCCCTCTCTCGTTTCCCGACAGTGGTTGCCCATTTTTATCAAATTTAGAACGACATTGATCACCCCAATGTTTTCCCTTTTTACATCTTGGACATAGGCCAGGTGGCTCTTTATCTGTTCTTGTAGTAGTTTGAGTAGTTACATTTTGTTTATTTGAGACTAGGCAATTCTTTTTTAGATGACCAATTTGACCACAATTATAACATCTTCCCCCAAATGTTCTAACCTGTCCTCCTAAAGCGACTCCTGTGATTGCTTGAGCCATAAGCATAGCTTTATGCATAGCTCCTCCAATTCCATCGCAGGCTTTAACGTACTCTGAGATTACATCTGATCCTGCGGGAACCCTTCCTTTTAATGGCTTAATGGCTGATTGACAATCAGGATTGGCGTTTTCATATGCCATCAACTCCACTATGACCTTACGGCATTCTCATCGGTAATTGACTTTGAGCAGCATCTTGAAGTCTTGCTACAAAATCAGGGTAGGGCTCTTTAGAGCCTTGTCTTATTGTATTAAAGGAGGGGCAGGCGGTTCCTGGGTCTTGGATTTTCTCCCAGGCCCTAAGGCAGATAGCCCTGATTTGCTCAATGGCCTCATTTGGCATTATTACTTGTTGGTCAACAGTGCTCCAATTTTGACCTATTCCTAATAGTTGATCTGCATCTATGTCAATTGGAGGATTGGCAGTCCTATTTTTTCGGACCTGTACTTGTGCCCCATCAATCCACCAAGTCTTAAATTGTAAAAACTGAGAGGGTGAGAGTGAGGATTTTGCCAGAATCTCCCAATCATAAGGAATGAGTCTATGTCCATGAGCAATGGAATCTAATAATGTTCTCATGTAAGGAGAGTTGGGTCCATACTGTTTTACTCCCTCTTCATTTCTTTTAGCATTTTTATAGAAAAAGACTTATATCTGGCTTCAGCTACGGGAAGCTCTCCCTCTTGGGCCCCTTCTCCAGGTGGTCTTGCTTCTAATATTACTGGGAATTGCCACGCCTCAATATCTCCTTGTTTTCTTGCCTCATCAATAATTTTATGTAACGCACTACCCTGTGTACTAGGCAGTGCTGTAGGATTAAGTCTCATGGTGGGCAGTTGAGGATATGGTACCCTGCCCTGTGGCGCTGGAAATGTTCCTGGCTGTCCACACAGATTTCTGGGGGCAACCGATACCGCAGTTCAGCTGGCAGCCAGTATTGATAGGCTACTGGCGGCTGGGTCTTATCTTCTACCGGCTGATATTGTGGACACTGCATTTGGAATGGCATTGCCATGACAGAAACTCTATCTTTTTCTATTTGATCTTCTTTTGGAGTTTGTACTTGTTTAACCTGCATTGAGGTTGTAAAGTTACAGGCATTTGAGCTGCTGGAAGAGCAGTTGGCCATCGTGGTTTAGACTCTGATGGCTCTGCTAATTCTGGATTTTTTTCTTCTAATTTTAACGTTTCAGGATATACTACCTCCTGTAATTGATTATTGTCAACATTTTGCGTTGACCGAGCCATAGCCGGCTCTGATACACATTCACAGTGTGAACTTTCCTTTCCTTCCGGGATTCTATCCCTGCCTCTTTTCACAATCTACTGCACAGCTTTTAGGGACATCAGAAATTGGAACGCTATCTTCTTCTGTTTGAAATGGTTCTAAAGCTACTTTAATAATGACCCAATCATTCCATACTGTGAGCGGAATGTTTTACCTTCCCTGCTTGCTTGTTTTAATTCTTTGCCAATTTTTCCCAATCTTTTAGATCTAAAGTTCCCTGTTCCGGAAACCATGGACAAAACTGCTCTATTGTTTGAAATAGCGTAATTAGATTTTTGGTAGAGACTTTAACTCCCCCTCTTTTTAAGAGAATTTTAATAAAGCTGCGATAAGAGGCATATTTACTCTTAGTTTGCCCCATTGTTACCCTAGGTTCTTCCGAGCGCACAGCTTACCGCAAGGCTGACTGTAGACGTACTCGGGAGTCTCTCGTCGACTTGTCCTCAGTGACCACGCTCCAGCGTACCTTCACCTTAGAGAAAAGCTTCCACGTTGGGCACCAGATGAAGGGGTGGCCTGCCCCTCCACACCTGTGGGTGTTTCTCGTTAGGTGGAACGAGAGACTTGAGAAAAGAAATAAGACACAGAGACAAAGTATAGAGAAAGAAAAGCGGGGCCCAGGGGACCGGCGCTCAGCTTACAGAGGACCCACGCCGGCACCGGCCTCTGAGTTCCCTTAGTATTTATTGATAATTATCTTTACCATCTTAAAGATAAGGGAGTGGCAGGACAATAGGATCATTTTTAGGGAGGAAATTAGCAGTAAGACATAAGAACAAGGATCTGTGACATGAATAAGTTTAAAGGAAAATCCTGTGCCTTGAGATAAACCTTTTAGCAACATTGTTTCATCCTATCACATGGGGATAAACCTTGGACAATACCTAGCTTTTCTAGGAACAAAGTCACACCCTGCACGCCCAAAATCCATTAAACCTTGAGTTACCACAGCACATGTCTCTGGCAAGGACAAGGTTGGGGGTAGGGTCACAGATTAACAGCATCTCAAATACAGAACAAAATGGAGTCTCTTATGTCTACTTCTTTCTATATAGACACAGTAACAGGCTGATCTCTCTTTCTTTTCCCCACAATTGACTATCACATTTCCATAGTAAGAGGTATTTAATAATGCACATGATGTCTAGTCTGTATTTTGTTAAATGCTTAAAATTGACATTAAGAAACAAAACTAATAATATCCTGGTTATGTAAAAATCTCTGATTACTTTTCTATTTAATTTTGAGAGCTAAGGAAGCCAGGGTTTTCCTTCTTCTCCAATGATTTTGCACAAAACTTTTACACTGTTCATTACATACTGTGTGGTTTTACATCTTTAGGTTTGAGAAACACATATATTGCTTAGAGATTATGAGGGAGTGAGGTAGGGAATTATTAGGGGAAAAAATGCGCCACCACCCCAGCTAGTTTTTGTATTTTTAGTAGAGATGGTTTCACCATGTTTGCCAAACTGCTCTTGAACTCCTGACCTCAAATGATCTGTCCCTCCCAGAGCGCTGGGATTACAGGCCTGAGTCACCACGCCCGGCCCAATGTTTATATTTTTTTAAAACAGAGATGGGGTTTCACCACATTGACCAGGCTGGTCTCGAATTCCTAATCCCAAGTGATCCGCCCACCTCAGCCTCCCAAAGTGCTGGGATTACAGGCCTGAGCCAATGCACCCAGCCCTGAATGATTGTTTTGTCTGTACATTTCTCATGTCTTATATGGCATTGTAAAGGCAATCAGATCTTTTCATTCATGTGGTTTTGGACCTTTTCAGTAATGGTATTATTCTTTGTACTTAGAAGCTTGGCAGGCACTAGAACCCATCTCTCAAACAAAACAGGCCGAAGACATTAGGAATATAGTAGCTGCAACTTGCGGGAGGTTGCATGAAATATTAATCCTGCTTCTCTCAGAACAGCGTCCTGCAACGGAGCCAATGAAGCAATCACTAGCTCCACAAATAAGACACTGCAAAAATTAAAAAATACCTAAGATGTTTTTGTAGTCTGTGATAGCAACTATGCATGGTAGAAAGGCTAGTGCAAAACAGATACATACACCAATGGAACAGAATAGAGAGCCCAGAGATTAACCCATCATATATGGTCAACTAAATTTCAATAAGGGTACCAAGAATACACAGTGGGAAAATGACCGTCTCTTCAATAAATGATGTTGGGAAAACTGGGTATCCACGCACGAAAGAATGAAATTGGACCCCTGCTGTACACCACACCCAAAAATCAACTCAAAATGGATTAAAAACTAAAATGTAAGACTTGACACCATAAAACTCTTAGAAGGGAACATAGGGGAAAAGATCCTGGATATTGGATACAATGCCAAGCAAAAATAAACAAGTGCAACTATATCAAACTAAAATGCTTCTGCACAGTAAACAATCAATAAAATGAAAAGATAGGCCGGGCGCGGTGGCTCAAGCCTGTAATCCCAGCACTTTGGGAGGCCGAGACGGGCGGATCACGAGGTCGGGAGATCGAGACCATCCTGGCTAACACAGTGAAACCCCGTCTCTACTAAAAAAATACAAAAAAAAATAGCCGGACGAGGTGGCGGGTGCTTGTAGTCCCAGCTACTCGGGAGGCTGAGGCAGGAAAATGGCTCAAACCCGGGAGGCGGAGCTTGCAGTGAGCTGAGATGGCGCCACTGCACTCCAGCCTGGGCGACAGCACGAGACTCCCTCTCAAAAAAAAAAAAAAAAAAAAAAAAAGAAAAGATAACCTATAGAATGGGAGAAAACATTTGCAAACCATATTATCTGGTAAGAGTTTAATATCCTAAGAGACTCATACAACTGAATAGCAGAAAAATCCACAAATAACCTGATTGAAAAAATGGGCAAAGGACGTAAATAGACATTTCTCCAAAGGAGACATACAAATGACCGACAGATATAGGAAAACATGCTTACCATCACTGATCATCAGGAAAATGCAAATCAAATCCACAATGAAGATGGCTCCTGTTTTTTAAAAAAGATAACTGTTGGTGATGATGTGGAAAAAAGGAAAACCTTGTATATTACTGGTGGGAATATAAATTGTTACAGCCATTATAGAAAATAGTACTCAGGTTTCTCAAAAAATTAAACGTAAAACTGCCATGTGGTCCAGCACTCCCATATTGGGTATATATCCAAAGGAACTGAAATCAGTATGCTGAAGAGATATTTGTACTCTCATGTTTATGGCAGCATTCTCAACAGCCAACATATGGAAACAACCTACATGTTGATTGATGAATGAATGAATGAAGAAATTGTGGTGTATACACACAATGGAGTATTATTCGGCCCCCCCAAAATGGAAATCCTCTCATTTGTGACAACATGGATGAACCCAGAGGACATTATGTTAAGTGAAATAAGCCAGATACAGGTAGACACACACTGTATGATTTTACTTACATGTGAAATCTAAAATATGAAGCAGAGAGTAGCGTGGTGGTTGCCAGGTGCTGGGGAAGGGGGAGATTGGGAAGTGATGGTTACAGGGTACAAAGTTTCATCATAGTGCCAATAGCTGACAATACTGTACTGTGTACCTAAAATTGCTAAGAGGGTAGATCTTCTGTTAAGTCCTCTTATCAAAACAACAACAATCATAATAAAGGGGGTGGCAGGAAACTTTGAGATGTGACAGGTTTGTTTATAACCTTGATGGTGGTGATGGTTTCAGGGATGTTTGTTTATCCCCAAACTGATGAAGATATATATGTTAAATATGTACCACTTTTTATATGTCAATCATACATCAATTAAGTGGTTTAAGAAAAACAATAACAATAACAAAGGTTTGTGGAATACACTAATCAGACAATATAAACATCATCAGGGAGTTGCAGAGGCAGCTTACCTGATTACTCGGCCTGATTTGGGGCCAGACATGGGGAAGCCAACTTTAGGAACAACCAAATGAGAATTCATTACAACTCACAGCACAAAGCTACCTCAAAGGAATCCAGTAGATACGCCGAAATTACACATTACATGAAAAAAAAAAAAAGAAAAAACTATTGCAATTCTGAAGAAAACTTCTGAAGTCAGATTGTGTGTATGTGCCCATTTGTGTGCATCTTTTATTTTTTCAGATATTTTCTTGCAAAATTAACAAATTTTTCCTTTCATATTTTCCCATCATTCCACAGTTCCATTTCTTTTACCAAGTCCTAAGTAGCCTTTTACTCCCCTGTCCACCAGTAAACATTGGTTTGGCAAAGCCAAGAGATTATCTAATTTTCATCCAAAAGGATGGTGACCCTTTGCTGGTGATTTGCATTTCCTGCCTAGAAATCTAAACAATTTTTGTTTTCAAAGTTAAAAATTTAACTAGAACATAGCTTACAGTTAATGTTTCTCTATGAATCTATCACTAATTATCTATAATGTTGTTATCTCATATCTTTTGGCTATTCTATCTTTAACAGGTTTTTTCATTGGTGGGTTCTCTACTTCAGGAACATCAATTGTCTTTACGTTGATCACTTTTTGACTGTCCTCCATTATTGATTATATTGTCTCTTATTGCTTTGTCTTTTATTCTCTGCACTCATCATGACTAAATGAAGCCTTTATATCAGAATTTTAGTTTAGCTAAGTATTTCAATCATTGCTATTTTAATTTATCTGTCAGTTCCATGGTGGTGGTGTTTTAGCTCTCAGTTTCTTTCGCTTTGCAGTCTTTCTTCTCGTTTCATTGTTTAATAATCTTTGATTTCCTTTAAAAACATATATGTTATTTCATTCCTTAGCAACATGGTGCAGTTGCATAAAATTGTCTTCCTTTCCTTGCCTTCTGTTTTCTTAAGTTATGATTAAGTTCTTCACTTGTCATTTTTGTGTTCAGTTTTATTCATTCAATATTGATTTACTGAGTGCCTACTATGTGTCAGGCACTATTCTTAATACTAAGGAAAGGCCTGTTAGGGAAACCACATTCTTGCCCTCATGGATATTACATTTCAGATACAGAAGTCAGAAAACAAATAATAGATCTATAATAAAACATCAAGATAGTCTATACTGGGGGATTGTGAGCTCCTGGCCTAACTCTCAATTCCTCCATTGCCACTATCATGAAAAAGCAGCCATAGACAATAGGTAAACTAATATGTGTTACTGTGTTCCCATAAAACTTTGCTGACACCTGCTTTCAGGCAGCTATTTGCATTTATCAATGTTATTCTCATCCTCTTTCTGGTATTGTTTTCTGAGGTCATTCCACTTACTGATATTATGACAATCAGGTATAAGGTTCTGGGTGGGCCAGTAGAGAAAAAAGAGGATGATGACCATCCCCAAGGACATGCGTTGAGCCCTTTCCTTCACTTACAATTACTTTAAGACAAAGGAGAAGGGGTCATTTTGTTCTCTTCTGGCCGCTACCCATTTCTGGTTGTCTGTATGAAAGAACGGAAAGGTTGGAATCTGATACTGGCTTCATCCTGCAACTATCCAGGCCTGCTACTGGGGTGACTACCAACTAATGGGGCACCCAGAGAATGAGAAAACATGGACATCCACCAATGAAGTTCCCTAAAGGAGTAACAGGTCAAGTTGTAATGGCACCTGCTGCTTAGTATTTTCTTCTACTGCCTGATTTCTTTTATGCCCGTGGTAGACTTAAACATTTAAGTGTCAGCTTATTTTCCTAGGACACTAAAATACTTTAAAAACACATTTTGATTCTTATTACCAGCCTCAGCATCATAGTGAGATCTTGTCTCTACTAAAAGTAAAAACAAACGAACAAATACAAGATAGCCAGGCATGGTGTTGCATGCCTGTAGTCCCAGCTACTTAAAGCAGAGGCGGGAGGCTCATTTGAGCCCAGGAGTTTAGTTTACAGTGAGCTATGATTGTGCCACTGCACTCCATGCTGGACAACAGAATGAGACTCTTTCTTAAAAAAAACCCTCTAATTTAAAACAAAACAAAACAGTTTTTATTCATTGCAGAAACAAATGCAAATAGGCAAAGAGCATAAATATGATCCTGAATCCCCTCTCCCAATATGACGAATGTTAACATTTCTAGACATATCTTCCAAATATAAACCTATATAAAACTAACATATGTGAACACGTTATATACTAAAACATTAAACTCATATTGAATATGTAGCACTTTGCAGCCTTCCATAAGTAACACATGACAGCAATAACAAACGTAACAGAATATAAAATACTCTCAAATTGGCCTGATTTATAACCTGCTTTTTCATTTACTATCATGAAACCTTTTCTAAGTCTCTAAATTATTTTGGTTTTTTTTGGCAATGGTTGTATAGTATTCCACTGCACAAATGTACCATAACTCATTTAAATAATCTCTCCTTGTTTGGGAATTTAATTTGCTTTGATTTTTTCAGTATTATGACCAACACTTAAATGAATATCCTTTTACCTAAATATAGGCGTATATTCTTTTTTTCCCGTACTTGCTATTTTTGTTTTTGTTTTGAAGATGGTTTCTCTCTGCTGCTCAGGCTGGAGTGTACTGGTGTGATCAGCTCACTGTAACCTCAAACTCCTGTGCTCAAGGATCCTCCTGTCTCAGCCTCCCGAGGAGCTGAGACTACAGGCATGCACCACCACACCTGGCTATTTTTTTTTTTAATTTTTCATCTTGTAGAGATGGGGTCTCACTTTGTTGCCCAGGCTGCACTTTATAACCTGCACTTCGTAATAGAATTCTTATTTATAAATATACTTTACCTCCTCTGGGCACTGGTCTCATTTTTATGTTGAAAACTTGGTTGCAACACTTGAGAAATGCTGGTTCTCTTTGCTAGTTTTGGTGGGGCGGGAGGAGAGGTAGACAACCGTGGGTTAGGGTTAGAATACTGACGCTCTGTGAGGCAGTACCCACGAGGTGATGAGGCCCATGGAACTCCTTGAAGAGGTTAAGGGATCCAGTAGAGGGTAACTGTGAGTCAGAAATCCCATTGTGACCACTACTACCTATACCAGGAAAGTGACATTCAACCATGAAATACTAAAGTGGGCATGAAAAAAATCCAAAGGGTATCACCAACTGACAAAGGGCAGAAAATGTATACTCTAGGTTGACATTTAGCCCTTAACACACCATGACAGCATGAGGCTCCATGGGTGTGTCAGCATGGGGGATCGGATGAAACCCTCCCCTCTCTTGCAGTCTGTGGCTCTGCCTCATGTAATATTATCACACAAACCTCTGCGTGAACACCATAAAATGCATACTTTTTGACATCTGAAGCCTCAGCTGGTCAAGTCCATCCGGGAAATATATCCTGAGATGGGTGGAACTTTCACATCTTATTCATATTTATACTTTCTTCTTTTCTTTTCTTCTCTCTCTCTCTCTCTCCCCCTCCTTTCCCCCTCCCCTCCCCTCTCCTCACCTCCCTTCTCCTTTCCTTTCCTTTCCCCCTTGTTATCTGCCTGGGAGTCTAGGATACAGCAGGCTCTGGGTAAATGCGTATTGTAAAGGTGGCAGGTAGAAAGGGCTTGGCTGTTGTTTTTCAAACAGATTATGCATATGCTGACATTATTAAAAACACACGCACATGTACATCACCATTGCCCCAGAAACCTCTCCAGCTGACTAGTGTCAAGCTACTGATTTATAAGATTGTCTGCACATATTATATTTTAAAACACATATTGCTTTTGTGAAATGTGTATTTATTACACATTTTGGAATTGATAATATTTGCCAAAAAGCAGCCTCTCCTTGCTGGATCTGAGACAGTCTGTCATGTAAACACATTTCTGGAAGAGACTTCATACAAATGCTTTAGATGGGGCCAACCAGCTTCCATGGTCTCTCCCTCTCTCTGTCTCTCTCACACACACACACACAAGCCCCTTCTCCTCCCCCGACCATGTCACACCCATACAAATAAATAATAAAAACAGTAATGGAACAACAGCCCCAGAGGAAAGCTCTGTTAGGAATAAGTCTTATTTTCAAAGCTGCACAAAACCCATCCAGCGAAGTAACCTTGTGAAAAGCAACACTTTATAACTCTACAGATTGGGCTGCCCCAAATTAGCGAGATGGCTCTGTGAGCCCCACCAAGTGTGTTCTTCAAATACCCTGAGCTGTGACTCCAAGTGCGAGAGTTGACAGGAAATCCAATTTGCGGTCAGTCTATAGAAAGAGTGTTCCAGACTGTGATCACTTTGGTACGGCCATGTGGGTCAGTGTATGGCTGTGTGGGTGTGTGGGGCTGGGTAGGTATGTGGGTCTGTGTGCAGCTCTGTGGGTTAGTGTGTAGGTGTATGACTCTGTGGGTGTGTTGCTGCATGGCTGTGTGGGTCAGTGTGTGACTATGTGGGTGGGTTGGTGTGTGGACGTATGACTGTGTGGGTGTGTGGCTACACGGCTGTGTGGGTCAGTGTGTGACTATGTGGGTGGGTTGGTGTGTGGACGTATGACTGTGTGGGTGTGTGGCTACACGGGTGTGTGGGTCAGTGTGTGGCTGTGTGGGTCAGTATGTTGCCGTGTGGGTCGGTGTGTGACCGTATGGGTCGGTGTGTGGCCATGTGGGTTGGTGTGTTGCTGTGTGGGTCGGTGTGTAGCTCTGTGGGTTGGTGTGTAGCTCTGTGGGTTGGTGTGTGGGTGTATGACTGTGTGAGTGTGTGGCTGCATGGCTGTGTGGGTCAGTGTGTGACTGTGTGGGTCAGTGTGTGACTGTGTGGGTCGGTGTGTGGCTGTGTGGGTCGGTGTGTGGCTGTGTGGGTTGGTGTGTTGCTGTGTGGGTCGGTGTGTTGTGTGGGTTGGTGTGTTGCTGTGTGGGTCGGTGTGTTGCTGTGTGGGTTGGTGTGTGGCTGTGTGGGTGTGTGTGTGTAGTCACCCTGTGTAATGTGCATTCACACCCCACTCTGGCAGCTTAATCTTTTCCTCCCCAGCATCCACTGGCATAATCAACTGGGGGCCTGCGCAGAACCTGCCAAGCTTATATTAACGTTGGCTCAGGGAGAGATTTATTCCTTCCTAGCACAGCACAGGCTGTACCTGGCTCAGCTACGACTCTCCCACCTTTACACCCCTCACTACACTACACATACACACAAACATGCACGCACACACACAGGCGTGCGCACGTGCGCATGAACACACACACACACGAGTGCCAGGTGGAACTAGTTCTGGTTAGTGTTTGGAAGGGGAACTTCCTTGGCCTCTGCCAAATATAGTCAATCACCCCGAGATTTTCAGAGCCTCTGCCTCATTGTTTGATCTGGAAACCCCTTTCCTACTCTACAGGGGCCACAAGCACATTATAAATGCAATCTCACTTGGAGGCTTAAGTGCCAACCTGGGCTCAAACAGCCGTGTCATCTGAATGAGTAATTTACTCATTCATAAAATGGGGATGATATTAGCAGGATGACATCGTGAGGTTCCTCATTAAGATATCATTTTAAAATGAACCCCAGTCCTTGTCCAGTGGGAGAGGCATCAGACAGAATGTCTACTCCTGCCTCAGTCCAGGATGGGATTAATCTCAGCCTGTTAGCCCTGCTAAGTCCAGTCACACAAACCCTGCAGGGAGAAAGAGGAGAGCATCTGCCATACAGTCAGGCTGCCACCCTGTTCACTTGCTTCTGTCCTTGCCCCCGTCCCTGAGCTCCAGACACACAGAACTCTTCATTGATCCCAGGACACACCCCCATTGCACATGCTGTGTCCTCTGCCTGGATTTCCCTTCCACCTATTCTCTGCCTAGAAAACTTATATTCATCCTTCAAAGCTGAGATCTAAAACCACCATTTATTGCAGCCTTCCATGCTCCCTCCTCTTCTCCCTCAGCCTCAAGCAGAGATAATTTCCTGGGTCATCATGGAATCTCATGGAAAGTTCTATTTGAACACTTCCCATACTTGCAACACCAGGACGTGATGTGGCTCTTCCACCAGATTGTGAACCCCTTGAAGAGAACAGTTATGTTTATCTTTGATTCCCTAATACTCAACCCGGTGTCAAGCACGTAGTAGTAAACTTAATCCATGTTTGAATGAATTATTCTTTGTGTCCTCAAAGTTTAACTCCACGACTGGGGCATACTAATTACCTAATGTTTGTTTGTGGAAATTGTTATGAATCTATCTCTGCAGCCCCATAGCCTAGTAGAGTTGTTTGAATGAGTGAGCTGTGCCTCATTCTGGCCACTCACTATGTTTCCTGGACTGTAGTAGGTGCCAAAAAAAAGTTTGCATGAATGTTCATTCCCCCAGCACCTGTTACAAAGTTTATCTAACTGTTGCAATTGACAACCCTCATGTTTCTCCTCAACTCAATCAGTGCAGGTTTTACTTACCTGACGATGCAATGCAGGTTCAGGGCACCAGAGGATGGGGAAGGGAAGGAGGGCTCTGCTCCACTGGTTCATTCAAGAACCCAGGCTCCTGATGGCTCTGCCAGTTTCAACAAGTGACCTTCCAGGGTCATCCTTGGTGTTGAAACCTAGCTGGAAGGTTGTGGAAAAAGCAGGAACATTTTATGGCCAGGTCAGGAACTACCCCACATCACTTCTGCTCACATTCCTTTAACTAGAATTCAGTCACTTTGGTCACATCTCACTGCAGGGAAGGCTTGAAAATGTAGTTTAAACTGTGTGCTCAAGTAAAAGTGGAAATGGGTTTGACGAGCAGTAGTAAGTCCAAAAATCGTATCAATCATCCACAAATATTTGATGAACAATATGAATAATGAGTTTTTCTATACCTGGAAGCTACGTATAGGTATGTTTGCACATAGTATATGCTCAATGAGTAGTTGAAATAATTCATCTCTGTATCGTCAAAAACCTTACATATTGTCTCATGTGGAGATGGTACTCAGTAAATAAATGGATGAAAAGGAGGGAGGGAGGGAGGGAAAGAGGAGGAGGAAGGAAGGAAGGAAGGAAGGAAGGATGGATTTAATAACAAAGAGTAGATAATGTATAGATGAATGGACGGATGGATGCAAGAAATCAAGGATGGATGGGAGAAAAGAAGGAAGCAAAGATTTAGTAACAGATGAGTGAATGATGTATAGATGAATGGATGGGTGAAAGAAATCAAGGATGCGTGGGAGGAAAGAAGGAAGGAAGGAATGAACAAATGAAAGAAGGAGAAAAGGAAGGAAAATAGTAAGAAAATATTTAATAATGGATGGATGATGGATAGATGAATGGATGAAAGAAAGGATGAGCGGGAGAAAAGGAGATGAGAGGGAGGAAGGTGTATATATACGTACATACACACACATACACACATATATACATATACATAGTCTTGATAATATGTAACAAGAATTAGGAGTTATATATATATGCATACACACACACACATACACATACACATACACACACACATAAGTATATGCTTGGGAAATTAAGTACTTGGGAAATTGTTACCATCATAAACTAGGGCAATGGGTCACCCCTGAGGTGTTCCTGTTAGCCCCAACTGCTCAGTCCCTGCTTGGTCCTGATCCCTTGCCCCACACCTTATTACACCCTACACAGGGACTTGACCACCTTCTAGCTTCCAAGTAGGAGTGAGCTTACCTCCAGGTTTCCTGGGTGTGGTGGCTACAGCTTCAAGTGCGAGCCATGGAAAATGGGTGAGAAGACAGAGCAAGGTTTTAGATTCAAGGTCTACACTCTGCTTGAGTGATCAACATCATTTCCATACTATAATTACATTGCCCAATTCTCCCGATTGTACTGCTATCTTGTAGGCTGTCCTGGTTGGAAGTAATCTGAAACTATGAGACATTAGATTCTGTGAAACAATCACTTCCCAAAGAAATATGGTCCTAGACAGTAATTGATAAATCCCATTAAGCCTCTTATTTCCTATTTGGTCTCTTCTGAGATGACATTGTTGATTTGTGTAATGCAAACTGTGTCCCCCATATTGCCAAACGTGAAAGATTTGCCCAGCTTTGGAGGATAAGGGCTCAGGGAGTCTAAGCCAGGGAGCAGAAGGAAGACGCTGTTGAGTTATGATAGGTGGCTAGACCAGATATATCTTGACGGATTTTTCTCCATGGTCTGCATGATTATTCTGCTCCAGAGAACTCCTACAAGGACAGCTTACAACTACTGTGGTTTAAGTCAGAGGCCACAGGATCTGTTCTTGTGAAACTTGGTTAGCATAAAAGGAAAAGGGACGCATTTGGCTCAGAGCTCAGAGGTGCTCCACAAGGGATGCCCCAGAACACTGCAGATGGTCCAGGAGGAGCACACATCTTTGCAAAGCACCCCTGACTCTCCAGTCCTGATATCCTCAGTCCCTGGCTTCTGTACCCTAAATCCAGAACTTTGCTGAGTTAGAGTGTGTTAAAATAATTGTGTTTATCTCATGCTCTTGTAAAATTTAGGACTTGTTTGCTTAGACATCCCCCGACCCAGCCAATTTCTTCCTTACCCTGTCTTTTCTGGGTCCAGGGATGAGAGACTAAAGACTTTTGTTAAAGAGGAAAGCAAGCTGAAGTGAAAAGGAAAGAGCACTAAACTAGGAGTCAGGCAATGAAATTACAATCCCTATCTTGTGGCAAAGTTGCTGAACTGCTTTGAGCAAGTCTCGTCCCCTTTCTGGCCTGGCCTGCAACTCCCCATCTTAAGATAAGGGATTAGTCTAGAACATTTTAAAATTAGCTGCCAATATTTAAAATCAAGAGATCCCACATAAAAGAGGTTTTTTTTTTTTAGCTCCTCCCATAAATTCTGATTGGAAACACCAGTCTCACACTCCCACTTGGCCTCAAACAGCTGAAACTGAGTGGTGGCTTCTTGCTTTAGGTGAGGTTTGCACCTTCAGGTTAACCCCAATCCCCACTACTCTCTATTGCTTTAAACCTTGCTTCACTTGCTTATGTTATCAACTGGCTCTCGTAAGCTTATGTTTGTAATTTCTAGATATCTATTCCCACTCCAACTTCATTAATTCAAAATAAACTCACTCTCACACAGAAGCCAAGTGTAAGAACCATCACCTGTGACTGCTATTTGTCAACGCTAATTAGGCCTGCATGGCCCCAGTTCAGCACCCTGGACAAATTATTGAGCGCTATTAGAGGCAAGTGAGTCCTCCCGTATCCCACCAAGTCCTGTCTAACGGGCAGCCACACCCTCGCCCAGACTGAGAATATGCTGATACCTGGTAGACTAAAACTTCATCTTGTTATTAGCACCAAAGCCTTGAATCCCTACTAAATCTGCCCTGCATGTGATTTCTTTGTAATTCTGCCATTCCTTGGGATCAGGATGGGGATGTGGGGGGATGAGGGTGAGATGGGTAATTCTTCTCTGTCAAGACATGTCTAAACTGCCTATCTTTTAGGTGCAACTGCTGCTTCCCAAAGGCCATCGTTCTTGTTGCTGTAAAGAATGATGGATGTGATACCATATATTACCACTGTGCACTTTCATTTTCAGTGTCTGATTTTCCTCCCCCAAATTGCCAAGTGATCGAGAGGCTAGGGTTGCTTTTATAAGATGTGTCATAAGGCCTTCTTTATGAACAATGTGGCCAGGCAACGTGGATCAGAGATAAGGAAAAACTTTCAGGTACCTCCGAGTTGTTTCTTGCTGGTATCTTTTCGCAGGTTCCCTCCAAGGCATCTCTCCAGGAGTCCATGGCTGCCAGGAGGATATCAGGTGGTTAATCTGCTTTCAACTCCTTACAATTACTGAGCCCACCAGTCAAAACCCACCACAATCTGGAACCCACTGAGGGCCCACTCTGTGGCAGGCACTGTGCTGAGGTCTAAGAGGTGAGAGATAAAAAGTGTATCTCTGCTCTTGTGAAGCTTCTATTCCAGTGAGCAAGAGACAATTAAAACAAAGCTATGGTGTGGTGCAGTGGGTCACACCTGTAATCCCAGCACTTTTGGAGGCTGAGGCAGGTGGACCACTTGAGGTCAGGAGCTCAAGACCAACCTGGCCAACATAGAGAAACCCCGCCTCTACTAAAAATACAAAAATTAGGCCGAATAGGAACAGCTCCAGTCTACAGCTCCCAACATGAGTGATGCAGAAGACGGGTGATTTCTGCGTTTCCAACTGAGGTACCGGGTTCATCTCACTGGGGCTGGTTGGACAGTGGATGCAGCCCATGGAGTGTGAGCCGAAGCAGGGCAGGGCATCACCTCACCCGGGAAGGGCAAGGGTTTGGGAAATTCCCTTTCCTAGCCAAGGGAAACCGTGACAGACAGTACCTGGAAAATCAGGACACTCCCACCCTAATACTGAGCTTTTCCAATGATCTTAGCAAATGGCACACCAGGAGATTATATCCCACACCTGGCTCTGAGGGCCCCATGCCCATGGAGCCTCACTCACTGCTAGCACAGCAGCTTGAGATTGAACTGCAAGGTGACAGTGAGGCTGGGGGAGGGGCGTCCACCATTGCTGAAGCTCGAGTAGGTAAACAACATGGCTGGAAAGCTCAAACATGGTAGAGCCCACTGCTGCTCAAGGAGGCCTGCCTGCCTCCGTAGACTCCACCTCTGGGGGCAGGGCATAGCTGAACAAAAGGCAGCAGAAACTTCTGCAGACTTAAACATCCCTGACAGCTTTGAAGAGAGTAGGGGTTCTCCCACATGGAGTTTGAGATCTGAGAATGGACAGACTGCCTCCTCAAGTGGGTTCCTGACTCCCGAGTAGCCTAACTGGGAGACGTCTCCCAGTAGGGGCCGACTGACACCTCGTACAGCCAGGTGCCCCTCAGAGACAAAGCTTCCAGATGAAGGATCAGGCAGCAACTTTAGTCATTCTGCCATATTTGCTGTTTTGCAGCCTCCACTGGTGAAACTCAGGCAAACAGGGTCTGGAGTAGACCTCCAGCAAACTCAAACAGACCTGCAGCCGAGGGTCCTGACTGTTAGAAGGAAAACTAACAAATAAAAAGGACATCCACACCAAAACTCCATCTGTACGTCACTATCATCAAAGACCAAGGGTAGATAAAACCACAAAGATGGGGAGAAACCAGAGCAGAAAAGCTGAAAATTCTAAAAATCAGAGCACCTCTTCTTCTCCAAAGGAATGCAGCTCCTCGCCAGTGATGGAACAAAGTTGGACAGAGAATGACTTTGACAAGTTCAAAGTTCCCTTTGAAAGGGAAGCTCATCAGACTAACAGCCAATCTCTCAGCACAGACTCTACAAGCCAGAAGAGAGGGTGGCTCAATAGTCAACATTCTTAAGAAAAGAATTTTCAACCCAGAATTTCATATCCAGCCAAACTAAGCTTCATAAGTGAAGGAGAAATAAAATCCTTTACAGACAAGCAAATACTGAGAGATTTTGTCACCACCAGGGTTGCCTTACAAGAGCTCCTGAAGAAAGCACTAAACATGGAAAGGAACAACTGGTACCAGCCAGTGCAAAAACATGCCAAATTGTAAAGATCATTGATGCTAGGAAGAAACTGCATCAACTAACATGTAAAATAACCAGCTAACATCATAATTACAGGATCAAATTCACACATAAGAATATTAACCTTAAATGTTAATGGGCTAAATGCTCCAGTTAAAAGACACAGACTGGCAAATTGGATAAAGAGTCAAGACCCATCAGTGTGCTGTGTTCAGGAGACCCATCTCACATGCAGAGACACACATAGGCTAAAAATAAAGGGATGGAGGAAGATACACCAAACAAATGGAAGCAAAAAAAGAAAAAAAAAAAAAACAAAACAGGGGTTGCAATGCTAGACTCTGATAAAACAGATTTTAAAGGAACAAAGATTAGAAGGCCATTACATAATGGCAAAGGGATCAATTCAACAAGAGCTAACTGTCCTAAATACATACGCACCCCATACAGGAGCACCCAGATCCATAAAGGAAGTCCTTAGAGACCTACAAGGAGACTTAAACTCCAACACAAGAATAATGGGAGATTTTAACACCCCACTGTCAACATAAAACAGATCAACGAGACAGAAAGTTAACAAGGATATCCAGTACTTAAACTCAGTTCTGCACCAAGCAGACCTAATAGACATATACAGAACTCTCCACCCCAAATCAACAGAATATACATTCGTCTCAGCACCACATCGCACTTATTCCAAAATTGACCACATAGTTGGAAGTAAGCACTCCTCAGCAAATGCAAAATAACAGAAATTATAACAAACTGTCTCTTAGACCACAGTGCAATCAAATTAGAACTCAGGATTAAGAAACGCACTAAAAACTGTTCAACTACATGGAAACTGAACAACCTGCTCCTGAAGTACATAACTGGGTACATAACAAAATGAAGGCAGAAATAAAGATGTTCTTTGGGGCAAAAACTGGAAAAATTCCCTTTGAAAACTGGCACAAGACAGGGATGCTCTCTCTCACTACTCCTATTCAACATAGTGTTGGAAGTTCTGGCTAGGGCAATCAGGCAAGAGAGAGAAATAAAGGGTATTCAGTTAGGAAAAGAAGAAGTCAAATTGTCCCTCTTTGCAGATGACATGATTGTATATTTAGAAAACCCACTCTCTCAGCCCAAAACTCCTTAAGCTGATAAGCAACTTCAGCAAAGTCTCAGGATACAAAATTAATGTGCAAAAATCACAAGCATTCTTATACACCAGTAACAAACAAACAGAGAGCCAATCATGAATGAACTTCCATTCACAATTGCTTCAAAGAGAATAAAATACCTAGGAATCCAACTTACAAGGGATGTAAAGGACCTCTTCAAGGAGAACTACAAACCACAGCTCAGTGAAATAAAAGAAAGACACAAACAAATGGAAGAACATGCCATGCTCATGGATAGGAAGAATCAATATCGTGAAAATGGCCATACTGCCCAAGGTTATTTATAGATTCAATGCCATCCCCATCAAGCTACCAATGACTTTCTTCACAGAATGGAAAAACTGCTTTAAAGTTCATATGGAACCCAAAAAGAGCCCGATTGCAAAGCAATCCTAAGTTAAAGAACAAAGCTGGAGGCATCACCGCTACCTGACTTCAAACTATACTACAAGGCTACAGTAACCAAAGAGCATGGTACTGGTACCAAAACAGAGATATAGACAATGGACAGAATAGAATCCTCAAAATAATACCACACATCTACAGCTATCTGATCTTTGACAAACCTGAGAGAAACAAGAAATGGGAAAGGATTCCCTATTTAATAAATGGTGTGGGAAAATTGGCTAGCATAAGTAGAAAGCTGAAACTGGATCCTTTTCCTTACTCCTTATATGAAAATTTATTCAGATGGATTAGAGACTTAATGTTAGACCTAATACCATAAAACCCTAGAAGAAAACCTAGGTAGTACCATTCAGGACATAGGCATGGGCAAGGACTTCATGTCTAAAACACCAAAAACAATGGCAGCAAAAGCAAATTGACAAATGGGATCTAATTAAACTAAAGAGCTTCTGCACGCAAAAGAAGCTACATAAGAGTGAACAGGCAACCTACAAGAATGGGAGAAAATTTTTGCAATCTATTCATCTGACAAAAGGCTAATATCCAGAACCTACAAGAACTCAAACAAATTTACAAGAAAAAAACAAACAACCCCATCAAAAAGTGGGCAAAGGATGTGAACAGACATTTCTCAAAAGAAGACATTCATACAGCCAACAGACACATGAAAAAATGCTCGTCATCACTGGCCATCAGAGAAATGCGAATCAAAACCACAATGAGATACCATCTCACACCAGTTAGAATGGCAATCATTAAAAAGTCAGGAAACAACAGGTGCTGGAGAGGATGTGGAGAAATAGGAACACTTTTACACTGTTGGTGGGATTGTAAACTAGTTCAGCCATTATGGAAACAGTATGGCGATTCCTCAAGGATCTAGAACTAGAAGTACCATATGACCCAGCCATCCCATTACTGGGTATATACCCAAAGGATTATAAATCATGCTGCTATAAAGACACATGCACACGTTATGTTTATTGCGGCACTATTCACAATAGCAAAGACTTGGAATCAACCCAAATGTCCATCAGTGACAGACTGGATTAAGAAAATGTGGCACATATACACCACGGAATAC